TGTCCCCGACGAGCTGACAAGCCCCTCAAATGAGACAAATGAGCTAATCCAGACGAGGTAGGTGTTGAATCCCAGAGTGCAAGTCTTACCCAATACCTTCACTGCGTGGTAATCTCCACCTGCCAAGAATCCAGAACCATGAAACAGGCTCCCCTGAAGTCACAAGTTTAATTTAAACATTTTGAAACAATGGGCACTTCTTTAAATGTTATCATACATTTTTGCACACCTACAAAACCTGCAGTCTTCAGCATGAGCTTGACATGTCAAAAGAATCAGCAAGCACTGCTAGTTTGACGAGAAAACTCGGAAAACAAGAAAGAGTTGGTTCATGCATCTTTCTCTAACGCACCTTCGTGTGATGTCTGCCGAGGGCACGCGCACCCAGCGAGCAGCAGGCAGCCTTGCCTGCATCCTGCTATTCCTGGCATGCCAACACCCACGCTGTTATGTCTTCTGTGGCATTTTACTCATGCTGTCTAGATTCAGGTAGCATATGCTTGTGTCCTGCAGAGCACGCTTGATGCTTGCTAGATACATCCAGCTACTATGGGAAGGAGAAGAGTTAAGCTATTACCTTGCTAGCTACCAAAATACGCCGTCTGTGTTTTGTTGCTATATTTATGCCGACTCCACCTGACCGGACAAGTGGCCAGCAAGAGAAGGGAAAGGCACTGACAGGAGAGGGTGCTAACGATTTAGGCAACGGGAGCGAGCCTGGCAGAATATGCAGATAGTAGCCCCCAACCCGCCACCCCTGCAGCAACCACCACAGCCAGGGTCAGATCAGCGAGCGGCTCTCACAGAGGATGCCTTTCAGTAGGGAGAATAAGCAGATCCAGGCTGTGACAGCTAATCTGTATCTCTAAATCCAGCCCTGTAATTATTATTATAAGCTTTCCAAGAGACCATTAGATTTGAAAAGTAAATCTGAATTCATAAATGAAGTCCTTCTAGATAGTGTCAAGTCTGCATCTGAGGCATCATTTAATAGCATTACAGACTGATAAAAAGTTTGAAAAATCAGCAGAGAGGTCAAAACTGCGTTGAAATGCTTGACGGCCATCCTCAGCTGTTGCAGCGTGTTTGATTCTGGTTAGATCAGCAGTTTCAAGCTGAGTCACAGTTGTGCAGCCTCAATATCTGCCCTGGAGGCCACACACAAACAGTGGGAAAGGAGCTTTCCAACCCAGACAAATAAGGGCATTGAGTCTCTTTTCGGTTACCCGAGGCCTCTTCCCGATACGCTTCCCCGTCCCGTAACACAAAAACCCAGCTCCACACTTGTGACATCAGGCTCAGGACTCCAGACAAATGAGGCACGTATGAAGATTACAGCGAGCGTGTTTGGAATTGAGCTGAGCTGAGAAGCATCATCTCAATAAGGGGATGTTCCAGGCAGACATGAAACATGGGGATTTGAAGATGTTTCCTGCTTAATTTTTTAATCCCTTTCCAAATCTTCCAGTGTCCTTGCTTATGCTCTGTGTTTTCACCCCCTCTCCCTTCCCCTGCTTTGTAGGTTATGCAGACTTTGAGCTTTTTTTCAATTTCATAAAACTTGTAGCTAATGATCGGGAGCTCTGCAGTTCCAGGTATGACCTTAAGAAAGCCCCTCAGTCTCTCTGGACCAGATCTTTGGTGCAAGTTGCCTTATGCCCCACCGTGTCTGTGTTCTCATCTGGGAAATAATGATGGTATCACCTTTCCTCCTGCCTTTTGTCAAGGGAGAGAACGACCTGTCTCTTCCTAAAGAGCTTCAGACAATGACTGTGCTCAGCCAGCCATAAACACAGCTATATAATAACCTCCAGACCCATCTCCCCAGTTCATTTGCATACACGCTGCACACACCAGTTCATTCTGGTTTTTTTATTTATTTAGAAATAATAAAATAAGACATAATATATAAAAATCTGTACAATCCACAATTTGTGCAGTACATTAGGAAGACTTTGATACAAAAAGGCTGCAAACAGGAAAATAGTAATGGACAACTGTCAGATGCCTAGATTGTTCACCTTACAATAGCTGCAGGCCAAAAGTCATTACAAAATCAGTTTCTCGTTGGCTGTGGGATGGCAACTATGCAGCACCCTTCTACTTTACAATGGTCATGAGCAGCCATAATTTAAAGACATTACAGTACTTCTCAGTTTTACCTTGTAATCCATTATGAAAAAGAAGACCTAAGAGAACAAATAAAACATCTGGACCCTTTGTCTTTTCCGAGAAAAGCAAGTGCTAAACTAACACCACCGAAGTTTATCATGGCTGGGAGAGGGTATCATTAAACACAGCTACTAAGTAATGATTCCTACCCTTGCTACTTAACCAAGGACAACTCGCACGGAAGAGACAGAGAAAAGAAGAGACCCATCCCCACCTGCCTCGGAAATGCTTTTTGTCACTGTATGCAGTACTGTGTTTTAGACAATGTGTCTCATTCAAGTATTTTCAGGGAAGGGCAGAAATAACATATTCCCCCCAGACCCTAAGCGAAATACAGTATAAACCTTCTGTGCGAGCCAGTTCAGCCAACTTTATCCTTGATAAAGAGGCCGAACCAACGCCTGTTGGAGTCCGCGGGTAGAGCTCAGTCAGTTTAAAGGGCCCCTAATTAAGCATCAGCTTGGCCCAGGATCATCGGGAACTGAAGAAACGCTGTCAGTCTCTGTGTAGTCCTTAAAAATATCAACATTTTAAAAAATGACTAACCCAATTTGCTGCTGTAGAAGCGTGCTACAATAGTCTGTCCTATACTGGGCTTACCACGGCGTGCTGAGAAATAAGAAATGATGGACAAGGGGAAGGGTACCATGGAGTGTACATTGCAGGTCTCTTTCTAGCAGCTTCCCGGAGCCAGAGGCTGAGTGCAATTCTGCAATGTAAGATTCAATCGGCAAAGACAAAGGGTTATTAAAAAAAAGAAACAGAATGTGGCAGAGAGTGTAATGGATTACCTCGATGCACACCCTCGACAAGACTAGCACTCGGAAAGCTGGTAACTTTTAAAAATGCCAGTAACTAGAACATGTTTTCAAATTAAAAGTCCATGCTTAAAAATAAATAAAGAGAAGTTCATAGCATTAGGAATCCTATAAGGCTTGCAAGTATTTGCTAAAAATCATGCTAACCGGTAGCATCTAGGTACTAGCTAGCTGAGACTGCCGAGCAGAATTTATACTTTTTGTGGCCTTTTTTTTTTCTTCTTCTCCTTGTCCTCCTTTACAGACTTCTATTTACATTTGGCTTTAAATATGAAAATACTTGATAAACTTTATAAAATGTACATTTTAAAAATATTTCTGAAAAACTGACTTGAAAAACAAAACAAAACAAAACAAAACAAAAAACCCCAAACCTCTGCACCAGAAATGTTAAGGGGGAGGTGTTTTTTTTTTCTCTGAATTCCTTTTGCTTTGAAGAAACAAGCTGAATCCTGCATTTCCCCGTCCCCCGTCTCTCATCCCTCCCTCAAACATCTCAAGTATCATTTAGTGGGAGCACTGTGCACCTGGGGGATGCTGATCTGGAGAACAGGTCCCCGTTCTCCCAGTCAGCCTCCCTTTTCCATCCCTTCCCCGTTGCATTTTCATGCACCCTCTGTTTCACTGAATACTCTTTGGTTTAGTTATTTTCCTTTTACAAGAATATCACAATAGCAGCACTAGCAGCACTCAGTTGTTTTCACTACTGTTGACCCAGAAACTGCAATCAAATCACCTTAATATGTTCAGCCTTTCCTTTCTTTTATGTCCCCCCACCCCAGTAACAGCCTTAGTACTTGCACTCAATCATCTGCCCTCTATAGTAGCCAAATCTATGTTTACAATGTCGAATTTCCACAGTTTTGAACCCACCCACTGTAGATACCATCTTATCAGAAACCATTTCATTGCAGGCATTTCTTTCAGGCAGGGCTGGAAGGGGCCAGAGGCCTTCACAGATACCAGTTTGCAGAAGACATTAGACCTAGAACAAGCTGTTTTTTAATGGCATAGTGATCCAATACTGCAAGAGTTGACTAGGATTATCGTCCCCACCACCACCCCTCTCCACCTGCTCCTCGGGGAGCAGGCGTGAAGCGCAGGTTCACTGTCTCCTTGATCTTAGAGGCACAGAGAATTTAAAGCCTTCTGGGTGAAGGAGCCAAAATACCGCTAGAGCCAGAGCTTCACAGAAGGTCACAAAATCTGCTCAGAGCTCGGTGACGTCTCATCCACCGACCACTCAGTGTTTGCCAGGGAGAGGAGGCAGGAGATGGCCCTCGCTTTGCAGCTTCATCCTCCCCAAATAATCCCTCTCCAAATGAGCTGGAAAATACACTTTTTCTGACACCCTTGCCCTGCTGAAGAGAAGAATTTTACAAAACGCAACAATCCTTGTGCCATTCCCAAGTGCTGTGTTGTAAAAGTTTTCTCTTTTCCTCTCCTTTACCCTCTCCCTTCCTCTTCAAAACCTCTTCCCAGGGATTTATCTATCGCTCGGCTCATCTGTGCCTAAACGCCTGCTCCAGCAGCATTAGCCTCTAGCATCGATCAGCAGCTTCGCGTGGCTCTGGCATAGTTTAACGGGTAACACAACGGCAGCCAAGGGCTCGGGTCAGACGCCTGCAGCACACAGAGGATGGCTCAGTTTTCAGGAGGCTGGGGCAGCGCTGAGGTCTAGCGCGGGTTTGGGAATGTGTGCACTAACACTTGACCTTCGGCTGCGAGCGACCGGGGAAGGACAGATGTTTGCTTGTTTGCTTTCCCCCAACTGCGTTTCTCCTTACAAGAAAGGAAGGGAATTTATTTCCCCATAGAAGAGCAGGGGGGAAGGGGAGGAGTCCTAGCTCACTTTAGATCCGAGTCTTAAGCTTTTAGAATAAGGTGCAAAATAAAGGTCTTAAAAAGAAAAGAAAAAAAAAAAAGAAAAAAAATCAAAAACAAAAAAGTGTCTGAGGTTTGAAATTTTTTTGTTTAAAGCAGCCTGTTCCTTTTTTTTTTTCTTTTTTTTTTTTTTTTTAAATAAACTCCGCTGTGCAAAACTGTGCATTTTCTTTGGTATCCATTTAGGTAGTTTTAACTTAGTACTTTTTCTATGTATATATATTTTATTTCATTTTTCCTTTAGATAGAGAATTAAATTCTCCCCCCAAAAATCATAATTTTGCTGGAGGCTACTGATTGGCCTGATATTACGTAATGCCCCTTATGTAACTGGAAAGAGAGAAATTGATTCTAGCTATCAAACTACTGGCCTCTCAAAAGGAATAGACTTTCTGGCAACATTGGCCTCTCTGAAGTGATCATGAGCTTTTCAACCCAAAAAGTTCAACACTGACTTTTTTTTTTTTTTTTAAATTACACAAGAGAAAATTAAAACTACACTGCAACAAAAATAACCATTTGTGTTCATGTAGTTAGCAGCAGCTTTTTAAAAAATAATTATAATAATAATAATAAGGCAGATTCTTGCCTTTGTTATGCCATTAAAAACATTCTTGTTCCCTAGAGAGAAGCATTCTGGAAAAAGTTGAAAAAAAAATAATAATAACCCAACCAAAGCTTGCCTGCAAGTTCAAGTTTTGTAAAAAAATATATACATAATTTATTCTACAACATATGTGCCTTCTGTTCATACTTAGACATGTTTAGTGCTTTGTGTTTAGAGTTCATTTTCTGTCGTCCCTCCTCTGAGGACAGCCCTAAAACCAGCCTGGGTTTCTCAGGTCTGCTTGCCTTCACACCACTTTTCAACAGTACCGTTGTCTGAAAACTGTTCTGGGCCAACTTCTCAGGTCAACGTGCCTTTGACCAATAGATTTTTTTTTTTTCCTTTCAACCAAAAGAGAGAGGAAGAGTTTGTCAGTCATATTTCCGACTCCCGCCGTAGCGGCCGTGGCTCTAGAGGCACCCCTGCTTGGTTGTGGTGGTCCATGTCCGGGTGGGTGTCTGTGCTCATGCTCTCAGGCACCCCAGTGTCAATCTCATCCTCCTCTTTGCTGGTGAGGGCCACTTCGTTCTCGTAGCAAAAGGAGTTTGCGTTAGAGAGAATGTATTTCTTTTCTGCTAAGTCTCTGGCACTACAGATGGGTGTGTTGGGCACTTCGTATGTTTTGTGGAACCTCGAGTAGTCCACTTTGTAGTAGTTTTTCTCTTCAAAGAGTACAGGCTCGTAGCGGTGGCCCCAGAGGATTTCGTTTGCCAGATATGAGCTACGGCACTGGGTAGTCATGGCAGTAGCTTCTACCATGCCCTCTAATATTACTACAATTTCAAAGTCAGCATTGTCCATGTCTTGTTTGCTCAAGTCATACAAAGGACTGTCTTCATCTATTTCATGTACTATTGTAATTGGAGAGACCAGGAATATGCGGTCTATCCCGCTGTCAAACCCTACATTGATGTCTATTTGATCCAAGGGGATGTACTCCCCTTCCGATGTGATCCTGGATTTGAGGAGCTGTGCTCGCACATGTGCCTCCACCAAGTGGCTTTTCCTCAGGTTTCCAACACGCCACATCAGGCACAGTTTTCCATCTCTCATGGCCACCACGGCATTGTGGCTGAAGACTAGAGTTTCATTTCTCTTTTTCGGCTTAGCCATCTTTGCCATGACAGCACCAATGATGAAGGCATCAATGATGCAGCCTACTATAGACTGGAAAACCACCATGAAAACTGCAATGGGGCACTCGTCTGTGACACACCTGAAGCCATAGCCGATCGTGGTCTGGGTCTCAATGGAGAACAGAAAGGCTGCGGTGAAGCTGCTCACTTGAGAGACACAAGGTTTGTTATTTTCTTGATTCTCCAGATCCCCATGCAACAGCGCAATCAACCAAAACACACAGCCAAAAAAAAGCCAGGAGAGGATGAAAGTCAGGCAGAAGATAACTAGCATCCACCTCCAGCGGATGTCCACACAAGTGGTGAAGATGTCTGCCAGGTATCGCTGTCCCTTCTCACCCACGTTAATAAACTGGACGTTGCAGTGGCCATCTTTTTTGACAAAGCGGCTCCTGCATTGCTGTCTGGTATGTACCTTACTCTTTCCATTCCCAAAGCCGTTGGCAACGGCCATGGTTGCCAGCTTCATGCCGTCCTCTTCCGAAGACACGATGCTGTAGCGGTTGGTTCGCACGCTGCCCATCACTACTGCTGTGGACTGAGGTGCTTCTGCTTTAGAAAACAGTCTAAGTTTCTGCAAAACCCTTTGGAGAAACAGTTTTGAAAGTTCTAGAGGAACACACACACACAGAAAAACTGGGGAGAGGCCGGAGTCCCCAAAAGCCCTTGGATCAACCAAGGACAGTCTTCTGGCATGCAGAGTTAGCTTAACAAGTAACCGTCATAGAGAGGGCATGGTCTGCAAGAGAAAGAGAAATGTCGTATTAGATCTTGGAGGAAAAGGATAAGGAATCAAACCTGCAAGAATCAAGTAAAACAACTCCTGGGGACCTGCAGGAAGTTTCCTTATTCTTAATGACAGCGTTTTCTGGAACGCACAAGTTCTCCGAGTGCAGCTGTGTATTGACAGAAGTGACATCATTACTACAAAGAAGGCATCACTCCTCCTGAGTGAAAGCACTGAAGTGATCATGTCACACAAATCTCTCAGCAATATTCACTTTAAAGCTGGACACGCAAAGAATCTGTCTACTATTTACAACCGTGCTTTCTGTTTCTTTTGAAACAAACAATTAGCTTTAACATCCATCTGTTCAAATATGAATACCGAAACAGTTTTTAGTGACACACAATGTGTCTCCTGGACTGTTTTACCTACGACAAACAAGGGAGCGTGCAAAAGGGGAGACAACGTGTACTGAGAAAAGCAATAAACTTGGAAAATGCAAACATCAGTGATTTCCATGAAATTACATTGCATATAGCTTTTTTTTAATTAAGGAAAAAAAAAAAAAAAAAAAAGGAGTTGTGTATTCTTTGCAAATGGCAGGAATAAAGGCTGCAGTAGTTCCTCTTTAACTCCATAAACTCATTGGGATCTGTGCAGGTTTTACACTCACGTTAGGCTTAAGTTGCACAAAGCAAACTAAACCTTATAACAACCCTCATCTGCTCCTGCTAACACAACCAGCAAAAGGCTACGATGGATGAGGACCGGCCAGGCGTCTTCATAACACCTTTAGTGGCAAATATCAGCACCTTCCCCTCGGGAGCCCGAGGCAGCCAGTTCCATCTCCAACGGGCAACAGTTCTGAGTGTCCCGTGGGTCTTAAATGTCAGTAATTAAGACTCAGCAGAAAGGCTACAAAACCTTCTTCCTGAGGGTAGAAGTCACCAAACTTGTTTCAGGGAGGTCTGGCTTAGACCCAGGTTTAGCTTTTAACATGTGCGTCATCCATTAAGTCATGTACTGTATATCAGGAAATGTAATTGAAATACTGCAGAGGAGAAGAGATGCATTAATGCAACTGCTCCATCCACACATGCGCCCCATGGAGGGAATAAAACTAAAACTGAGTGATGAGGACTGTCTGCTGTCCATTTGTCGTAGGAGAGGAGACTTCGGTACCGTTTACAGTAGTGGGCAATTAAATCATGATGCTCTTCGTAAATCAATCTTATCAAAACTCATGTGAGTTTGTCCAAAACCCAACAAAACTGCAGCCACCAAGGAGCACGACCTCTGCCCACGAAGCAGCCTCAGTGCTCTGCGGCTCTTCCTCTGATTCGTATCTGACAACAGCTGTACGTAAGAGTTTATCTCCTTTCCCAAAGGCAGCCCCTAAAGCCCTGCAGAGGTGTTCCAAAAACTTGAGGGATTTCAAACAGTTTCTCAGCCCTCCCACATCCTTCAGCCACATTGCAAGGGCTTTAGGTCAGCAAACACTTGTTAGGAAAAGAGCAGGTGACAAACAGAAAACAACATCGTGCTCCCAGTTGCATGCAAGCTGGTTTTCCCTCTAGAATCTCTTCAGGGCTTACTTTTACCTTCTCTTTTTTCCTCACTTCTGTTTGTTGTGCAAGAATGTGTCCCAACGCCTACTTGCCGAGATTAGTCATCTGTGACTTCAGCGGCGTACAAGACATTTTGGCAGCTTTTGATAGGTTCACTAATGCCCAGTTTTGAGTACGGCTCTCAGCAATGTAGGCTTCCCTCTTACTTATCTGCCTATCTTGCCTATACTGTGTAAGGATTCACTTTTTCCTCGCACACCTTTTTAATCATGGGGTTTCTCATTCCCGTCAGGATATCATTCCCAAAAATACAAAGCAATTCCTTTAATGTTCACTTCAGTTATTTTTTTTGGCTGAAAAATACTTTTATTAGAAACCTAAACACAAGGGAAAAGTGAAAATACTGTTAATACATTTCACACAAAAAACTTCTTGAAAAACATTGCATGGGTCTGCAAATTGATCACTTTTATAAACCACATCCTGCAATCACAGTCATGTTCAGCTTCCACATTCAAAGTCTGTTCTGTTCCAAGCTGATGGAAATACACAGCCTAGGAAACACTTTATTTTGAAGTCTTTCTTTTTTTTCTTTTTCCTGCATTGTCTCTTGGATTTTAGAGGAAAACTTGTGGTGGAGGGAAAGATAAGCTGTAAAGTCTCAAGTGTCTGAATATGCAGCTCCCCTCACAAAAGTCTTGACCCGAGGACATTTGTCTGAATTCCACAAATCACTGAAATCCTAACGCCAGCTTCCTGCAGCAAGCTGGCTGCATTTAGAAGTTTGGGACCCGAATTAGGTGTTGTACATTGTCATGTTCCTACTCTGAATGGCTGAGTGCCTTCTACCTACCGTACCTTGCACAGCCTTGCGCCTTCGCTCTGCGATTCTGCACCACTTTGGCTCTGAGGATCCTTAAACTCGGTGGGGTGTGCCTGGGGGCACCCTGTGCTACCTTTACAGACTGCTTGAAGTTTACACAACAAAGCTCTGGCATGCTCCACTGAAGCATAGTTGCCTTCTTTCTTTTATAGCACAAATTGCCTCTTTTCCTTGCGAGTGCTTGGAGTGGGGAGGATGGGATGGGATGGGATGGGAGCCTGGGCAGCGCCGTGCGCAGGGACCAGCTAGTGCAACGCAACGGGTCTTATCTTGCTCCCGCTCACGGCAGCACAGGCCCTGTAAAATGCCCGCTAGATCCACTGGCTGCCTGATCACGCACCTGATGGGTGGTGACCCTGACTTCCACAATGAGTTTCAGTAGAGGTTCCTCCAAAAATCCCAGAAACAATCAAACTAGCATGAAAATCTAATGGGACTTCTTATTTTGCTAATCCACCTGCTGCTCAAAGGCAAAGCAAGTTTGCTGCCCCCCAGCCCACCCCGCTATCAGGTGTTGGTGGCACCGAAGATGCCCAGCTAGTGTGGGACCAGCCCTGTAATCCTCACCAGACAAAGAAGCCACCCCAGTACCCACCAACCAACCCAAATCTTTGTATAATTGGGCCCAACACACTGCAGCCAGACACACGCACACACACAGCTGTAAATTCAATCATCAGTAGGTGTGTTATTATTATTAATTCATGCTGCCTTTCCTCCTGGAAGAGAAGGCAAGACTAGAGCAATGCAGCTTGTAATTACCAGCACTGGCACCAACGCAGCATTACTGGGAAGGGATGAGATGGGGTAGGAGAGCCCTGGGCTTGTTCTGCTGCGAGAGGATGCTTGGAGGAGCAGAGAAAAACGGGGCTGTGCTGCATCTGCAGCATTTTTGAACCTACATTTGTGGAAGTGCCACGACGAGGAGCCCGAACCCTCACTTTCCCCTTAGCAAGCATCCCCCTCAAGACCTTCCCCCAGGGAAGCCGTTCACATCACACATCTAAACCCCACAACAAACAGCTCGAAGGGCATTTGTGCAGAAGGTTTAATACTGAGCAAAAACTCTGAAGTGCAAAAAGAGCAGGGGGGAGAGAGAGGAGCACTAATGAGCGCTCGGAGCAGTTATTCCCAGGCTGACGCCACACAGCCCTGCAGAGCGAGCCGGGCACATGTTGCTAAGAGAGCACCAGCACTACCTGAGCCAGGCGCCTTCCCCTGCTGCCCTCGGCAAACAGAACAAAGGAGCTACGCGCCACCAGCGAAGCCTGTTCCCACAGCACCCGCTGCCATCCCCGTAACCTTCCTCCAGACCCCTGCGTTACTTCAAGGTCATTCCCCAGGGTTTCTCCACTGATTTGGGTAGGACTCAAGTTACACAAAGTGGTTAGCTGCCTTCAGGAGAAGGATCTGTCCTTTGCGATCAGGCGGGGGGGGGGGAGGGGAATAAATAAAAAAAGAGCAGATGATGTAAGGAAATGGGTGTGAAGAAATAGGAGAAAGGAAAGGACAAGTGGTGCTTGCATCTGCTGTCCTGCAAAGGGGATGAGTTCAGGGTATTTCTAGCTGATGACAAAATAACTACAAGTGAAATAGTCATCACCAGGGGGTGTACTTGATGCACCGGCTGTGAGGATGGAAAAGCAAACAAGTGTAAAGGTAAGGCTGAAACCCAGAAACAAGTGCCGGCCGCCGGCCGCCCGGCTGCGGGGCGGCGGGGGGTGGCGAGGGCGGCGGCGCGGTCCTGCGCAGCCCG